GTGTGTGTGTGTGTGTGTGTGTGTGTGTGTACCCGCGCGCGCACGTGGGTGTGGATACACATGTCTGTGTGCATATGCTTGCACATGTGTGTAACAGCCTTGTTACATCAACCTTGGATGCTGTCCCCCGGGCTCTCTCTACCTTGGCTTCTTTTGAGTTAGGGTCTGCCACTTGGCCTTGAACGTGACAGTTAGGGAGGCTGACTGCCCAAGGATCTGCTTGCTGCCCCTCTCCAGCTTCTGGGATTATAAGAAAGCCACCACGCTTGGCCTCCCCACCCCAGTGGGTTCTGGGGATTGCACTCATGTTGCTTATACAGCAAGCACTTTGCTATGAAGCTTCCTTTCCAGCTCCATCTCCTTTTCTTTGATTAAAATGATAAGCACATGCCCTTTTTCTTAGATAGTGACAATCATTTGAATCACAGTTTTAATTTAAGGGTAGAGATTTTACATTAGTAGCACTGTGAATAGCACCAACTTGCTTTTATTCCCCTAAATTTAGATTATTTTTCTTCCCCAAAGCTTATATATGAATAAAAAGGAATAATGAGTTGCATATAAAAACTGCCTTCTTTTCAAAACCAGGGAAAGAAATGTGCCGTAAACTTTAATGCTGCCGAGAAGCCTCTTAATCTTCTCTCTGTCTTTTGCATTTGTTGATTTATTAATTGTACGTACAGGTGCTACAGTGATTGTTTGAAGGTCAGAGGACAACCTGTGGGACTCTGGTTCTCTCCTTCAACCATGTGGGTCCCGGGGATCAAACTCAGGTTGCTTTTTATGACATCAGCCCTGATTCTTTTTTTGGTTTCCTTTGATGCTATAATTTTGACTGTATATGAATGGGTCAAATATTTAAGAAAAGTATCAGAGACATTAATACAGTGTATAGAGAGCAATTGGAAGACAGTGAGGAAACCACCGCTTCTGTCTCAGGTTTGAGATGTTTGTGGCTCAGGGTCCAAGTAAGTTGTTTTCAAGTTCCTCTTTCTTTCTTTCTTTCTTTCTTTCTTTCTTTCTTTCTTTCTTTCTTTCCTTCCTTCCTTCCTTCCTTCTTTCTTTCTTCCTTCCTTCCTTCCTTCCTTCCTTCCCTTTTCTTTCCTTTCTTTTCCTTTCCTTTTTTTCCCCAGTATTTTGAGACCTGGTTTCTCTGTAGCTTTGGAGCCTACCTTGGAACTAGCTCTTGTAGCCCAGGCTGGCCTCGAACTCACAGAGATCCACCTGCCTCTGCCTCCCAAGTGTTGGGATTAAAGGTGTGTGCCACCACCGCCAGACTTGAGTTCCTATTTCATAATATACCACAGGATCTATGCAATATTTGTAAATATAAAATCAAACACCCAAAGCTTGGCCTCTTACCTTTAGACATCACATTGATAGTAGCATTTCCTGCTGCTAGAATGGGGTTGAGGTCAGAGAAATTAGGCCGACTCACCACGTGCCCTCCTAAAGACTAATAAAAAGAGAACATCAGAAAAAGCTTCACTCCATTATCTGACAAGTAAAGAATCATGTACACAGAGCATATGTTTTAAATTTTCCCTTTTGCTTTGCAGAAAGATCTGGGGGTATTTGGAAGCAGCTAAATCATCCAGACACCATGCCATGTTTATCTCTCACTTCTGACCTAAATGCCACAGCCACAAAAGCACCTGCACAGGTGAGGAGAAACAGTTTCTTGGAGAAATGGTCTAACACACATTTGTGTTTGTTCCGAAGCCTTCCTTGATATGCACGCTCATTCATGAGCCAAGTAAGAGAAAGGAATGGAGACCTAGGGAGTGATGTCAGCTTCATTCATAAAACTGAGTAAGAGAGGTGAATGGAGACCTAGGGAGTGATGTCAGCCTCATTCATAAAACCAAGCAAGAGAAAGGAATGGAGACCTAGGGAGTGATGTCAGCCTCATTCATAAAACCAAGTTAGAGCATGAATGGAGACCTGGGGGTAACGTCAGCCTTGATGCGGGAGAATTGTCTGTATTCCGTCAATCATATTTTAATAAAATGCTGATTGGCCAGGCAGTATACAGGCAGGCAGTATAGGTGGGAAAGCCAGACAGGAAGTAGAGGTGGAGCAAAGAGACTGGGAGTATTCCGGGAGGCAGGAAGCTCCCTCTGCCACTCCTGCGCAGACCACGGAAGAGGCAGGATGTAACCTGCCCAGCTGAGAAAGGTACTGAGCCGTGTGGCTAACATAGATAAGGACAATGGGGTAACATAAGTTATAAGAGCTAATAAGTAGCCTGACCTAATGGGCCAATCAGCTTTATAACTTATAGAGATCTTTATGTTACACAGCCTCATTCATAAAACCAAGTAAGAAAGACATGCTTCATAGATGGTCAGAGCTGGATGGAACCCCGGATGCAGTCTCATGTGATTGGTCTTTGGTTTGTTTGTTTGTTTTGCTTTTGTTTTTCAAGACAGGGTTTCTCTGTGTCACTTTGGCTGTCCTGGAAATTACTCTGTAGACCAGGCTGGCCTCAAACTTAGAGATCCACCTGCCTCTGCCTCTGGAGTGCTGGAATTAAAGTCGTGTGCCACCACCGCCTGGCTTTAGTTTCCAAACCCAAGTGACTTCAGTTTAAGGAGTTCAAGTGGCTTCCCTAGGATAACTGGAACAAGAATCTGTGCCTCTTCTGATGGCTTTATCATGACTAGTGATCACTTTAGACACACATACACACACACTTCCCCCAACATACACACTTGTAATATCTGTCATTTGGGATACACACACAAACACACACATGCACACACATGTACACACACACGCATAAACACACACATGCACACACACACGCATAAACACACACATGCACACACACATGCATAAACACACATAAACACACACACGCACGCACAAACACACACACACACACACACTGTGGCTTAGTTTATAGACCAATAGATAGCATACAGCCATATTCCTAATCTGGGGCCCTGCAAGCGTCCTCAGATGCTTCAGGAGGGCATGGAAGGTCTTGGTCTTCTCCTTTGGTTGCTCTGAAACCAGGAAATCCAATGCATCTTTCAACTGTGCCAGGCTCTGTCCAGCCCCTATTGTTGCCCCTGAAAGCAAGAGAATAGAACATCAGATTATAGTGAGCCTGCATCCCTGCTTCTAAATAGATCTGCTCTTTGTTCATCTAGTTGGGGTGACAACAACCAATGATAATTAGGGATACTTCTAGTGATTTTCTTTATTGTGATGATTAGCATTCAAGTCTACTAAAGCTCACACTACGCGCATCTGAGGGCATTTTGAGAGAAGATTAACTAACGGGAGACTTCCCTCAGACTGGGCAGCATTGTCTTATAATAAGGAGTCCAGGATGGAGAAAGAACACTAAACCATAAAGAAAGAGAACTGAGCGTTTGACACTCTCTGCTTCCTCACTGGGGAAACATTGTAACCATCTGCCCCCCCCTCCCAGCCCTTGTTCTCATGAGTTTGATACTTTCTGCTACTTCACTGTGGAAACATTGTAACTAGCAACTCCAGAGCCCTTGTTCTCTTGAGTTTGACACCCTGTTTCCTCACTGTGGAAACATTGTAACCAGATGCTCTCCCAGCGCTTGTTCTCATGAGTTTGATACTCTCTGCTTCCTCACTAGGGAAACATTGTAACCACTTGCCTACCCCCCTCACCTGCGCTTGTTCTCATGAGTTACTCATCACAGGATTTGCAAACAGGGCGTGATTTCAGTAGTGTGGTCTTACTAGGTCTAATACAGTCCACAAGAGAGGGAATAAAAAATTCTCAGTATATGCCTGGCACCAATTAACCTACTGCGCATAAAAAACAAACAAACAAACAAACAATTCTTTTTATCTATGGCATTAAAGTTTCACGGAGAGTCCACGAGGGAAGCAGTGTTTCCTGTTCCTAGGAGGGACGGCAATGAACACAAGTTGGAGCAACAGATGTAGCTCTGTGAGCTCTGTTCTCTGTCTCTACACCCTCGCCAATGACCTTCCCCCACCCACGTGCCTGGATAGTCTCCCTGAATCCATCTTTTCCTCTCTCCGGATCCGTTGATAGAGATATTCTAATAGTTAAGAAAAACAGTGACGAGCCACCTGACTTAAGACAGACACGTCAGAGGGACAGCAAGAAATTACCCAGTTGGTTTCTTCACCACGCTCCTATTTTTTTTAAATTATTTCAGCTTAGTATCTTTAGCTCTTATCATCTGTTATGATCTATTCAATTGCATTGCTTGTGTTCTGCTGTACCAGGGAGCCTTGTTTGGGCATTCTCAGAAAAAAGAAGACGGGATCTGAACCTGATTTGGGAGGCTGGGGAAATTATTTAGGTTATTTGATTCTGAATCTTCCATAGGGTACTGGAGACTCCAAGGTATGGGATAGGTCTGTCTCCTAGGGCTGTCCTAATGAGCAAAGAGAGGTCATGTGAATGTACCTGGTGACATGTGAATGTACCTGGTGACATGTGAAGAGAATGAGCATTTTAAATCTCATGGTCAAGATTGTGCGTGTGTGTGTGCACATGCATGGGTACGCATGTGTGTGCGATGAGCCTCAAAAGAGAAAATGTCTTAAGGGTTTATTGGACCGATCTTTCTGGACTTGGCTAAACTCTTTGGCACTTTTTTGTTGTCACAGCTTCGATGACAACATGACGCTCAATGACCCAGTGACTGAGATGTCCTGAGGACACATATGGTGAACACATAGCACACGCCCAGCTGCTCTGGACGAAGAAGCAAAGCCAGGGCTTCTGTGAGGTGTTGCTGTTATCACTGGCATCCCACTGGGCCAAGGCTGATGCCTCATTTGAAAACCAAACCACTTACCATTTTCTGTGTTCTTCACCAAGTGCAGCTCTGGGAACCGAAGAGGGGATATAAAAACTGGATGAAATTCACCTTTAAATTTAATACTGGGTCCTTAAGGAGAGAAACAGGAAGCAATTAGAAAGCGAGCAATGGGTTATCAGTACAGCAGAGTAAAAAATACACTTGTATAGAATTTATTTGCAAAAGAAAAAAAATCATAAAAGACCCTGAGTCCCATGAGTCAAAATGAGCCACGCTTATTGGAGAGTCTGAGAAGGGGCTTCGGTTACCTGATCTGAACTAAAACATAGGAATAACACATACCTACTGAGGTATTTCCCATGACAAGTGGGGCTTTCGGGTAGCTGGCTTTGAGTTCCAGAAGGTCCTCCAAGGTCACAGGCACGAACCAGGTGGTCCTCGGCCCTCGGAACGTCAGCCTCCGCTTATCTGGGTCTTCGGCCATTCTCTGCAAAGAAGCAAAGCCGCGGCGCTTTCTAGGGATCCAAACGGCCCACCGGTCACTCTAGCTTCCTTGGGGATTAGGGAAGGGTGGGCTGAAGCTACCATATCCCGCGAGGTATCTAAGGGCAGTGTTTACACTCGTGAAGTGACTGTCTGAAGGGGCACATCAGACAGCACAAGTGCCTTGGTCCATTCCAGTTCTGCCCTGCCATTGAGGAGTTAGGATCTCCACCGGAAACAGCCCCTGAGGAAGATCTGGCTTCTCAGGAGACTTCACTGCTAAATCTACGTGAGGTGAGGTGGAGAGAAGCTGAGAATATTTCCTCCTTGGTTCTGGGGAAAACTGTAGGTAAATGCATTTCCTTGGCCTTGCCTCCTGGGTCTTCAGCAAATCTGCCCTTGGACACGCCCACAGGCCAACCCTTGGACACGCCCACAGGCCAACTCCGTGCAGACAACCTCTTCCCAAGTGATGCTAGGTCATTTCAAGCCGACGATTAAAGCCAACCGTTCCACGAGCCATAAAAAATAAACTAAAAACCTGACTCATAGCCAAGGTGTCTAAGTTCTCATGCTTCAAGGGGCACACGGCACTGGGTTCTGAGAGGCCATGGGAAGTCTCTCTCCCGTGTCTGCTTTCTCCAGGACGCAGTAGCAGGAGTCCAGACCTACCACTAGATTGAACCAGTGGCTAACTGAGAGAACAGTACGGTCCCAAGCATCATTTTAAACGAGTCCCTGAAAATGACTCCATCGTGGTGGGCACACGCCCGTCTCCTAATAACTAGAGAGGCTCTATAGTGTGATACAAAGAGGCCCGTGCCACGCTGGCCGTATTGTGAGACGAGGAAAGCATAGCAACTCACGATCAGCTCAGGAGGAAATATCGGTTCCTGCGACGGGTCCAAGGGCTGGAACTCGTCTTCGTCGTACAGTTTGGTACACATCTGGACACCGCGGAACACAACACAAGGGGAACGTCAGAGCTACTGAGAGACACGCAGTATTGGAGCGTGGCGCTCCCCCTGGTAACTGCATACGAAGCAGGATGCTGGAGTCACAGGGCTCCCTCACATAGAATTCTCCTGCCGCTCCCAGGACTGAGGGGCGGTGTCTAAGCCCGTGGATGAGACTCTGGATTTCTCAGCTGTCCAAAGGTGAGCATTGGACTTCCTCCTGTATTACTGCATTTCTATGAGCACAAAGCTGCCTGACCTGGCTAATATTTGATTATCAACTCAACAGGCGCTAGAATCCTGCAGCGGACAAACCTCCAGCCACGTCTGTGAGGGAGGATCTGGACTGGGGCTCATGTGTGTGATGCCATCCCATGGACTCAGACAGAATGAAAAGGAGGAAGTGAGCCGAACACCAGCATGGCATGCACCTCTCTCTTGGGGTGCAGTGTGACCGGATGTCCTGTATTCCTGCTGCCAAGCCTTTCCCTCCTGCACTCTCTGCCTTGTGATGATAATGACCGAAAAGAAAGGTATCTAGATACATTTGGATTTTTGTGGACATTTTCTGAGTCAATCCCTAAAAGTATAGGGAAAACAGACACTTACTTTTTCCTCTCTACTCACGAAAGACCCCTCGTCTGGATCCATGCAGCATTTTCCAGATCCTTTCATTTGGCAAACAGTCGATCCCTAGGGAGTATTGCAATTTAAGGCAACTTTGCGGTCAGTCCTTTGGTGATTGATGCCTGAGGCCCCCATATCTGTAACCCCACCTGACTGACTGACTGGTCTGTGGATTCCTCACTTCTGCTTTTGGCCAAGTGGAAGGAGGTCCCCGCAGCATTTTTGCTGTCTCATCTAGTTACTGATTCTTCAGCTTCCGGGAAACATAGGTAGCAAGGCTGGAAATAGCAGGCACACGCCTGCAGTTCCAATGCTTGGGAGGCAGAGGCTGGAGAACCGGGAGTTCCAGGCCATCCTTAGATACATAGAAAGTTAGAGGCAAGCCTGGGCTACAGGAACCCTTGTCTCAAGAACAAAAAAATCCAAACAAATCCAAATAAACAAGCAAAAACAAGCAAACAAAAAGGGCTGGAGAGATGGCTCAGCGGTTAAGAGCACTGCCTGCTCTTCCAAAGGTCCTGAGTTCAATTCCCAGCAGCCACATGGTGGCTCACAAACATCTGTAATGAGGTCTGGTGCCCTCTTCTGGCCTGCAGGCATACATGGAAGGAATGCTGTATACATAACAAATAAATAAATAAATATTTGAAAAAAGAGAGAGAGGGGCCAGGATGTACGTAACCCAGTGGGGAAAGCTGATGTGTCGGAGCTTGGTTAGATGCTCCACACCACAAGCAACAGCAAATGTGCTCAAACCTCCCAATGAGTTTGAGAGGTTTGGCAGCAGGCTATTCGGTGTCTGAACAATTAGAGAAAAATAAAGGGAGCATGCAACTGTGCTCTCAGCGGGGCGCCTGCAAACTGTCACTCTGGGCTGGGGGCGGGGACACATGGGATTGGAGCCCATGGGATTGGTCACTGAGGCTTCCCATGGGACATGAGAACATGCAGGCTAGGTCTAGAGTGGTGGTCAGCCCACGCAGAGGGCTTTTATCTTCACAGCAGCAGTTAAGTCTTAGGGAGGCAAAAGTGGACCCCGAAAACCATATATTTCAAGACTGTCTGCCCCCATATGCACTAATCGTATTTTCCAGATTTCTCTGTCTTCTGTTCTTAGCTTTCACGGTGACTCGGGGTTTTGGCTCACTGCTGCTTTTTGGTGCCTGGTGGTTTGATCTGGTTATGACTGGCAAGTTCCTTCCTGAAAGCTGTCTTTCTGCCCCCCGTGGTGTCCCGCTGACTGCGGCCAATATTCCCTTCTGTGCAGGATGCTGTGGTAGCTCAAGCTCTCAATCCCCACACTGTGCCTCCCAGGCTTGTCCTTCCCACAGGCAGGGACCTCACTTCCTGTGAAGTTCTGTGCACGTGGTATTTATTACTCCTGGCTCGGGAGCTATGTCTCTGTGTTGGCTAGCAGCTCGAAGTCTAAACTCTTTGGCCCCAAATAACATCCTTTCTTTTAGTTTTTAGCACCCCCGTCATACCAGCCGCTTTCTTCCTTCCATGTTTAGTCTGAGCCTTGGACATTGGGCGTTTTTTTCTGTTTCAACTAATTCTCTTCCTTGTAATTTTTCTACTGCTCTTTTTGAAGCAACTCGTTTAGTCCAGAGCTCCCTTTCTCTGATAAGTTCTCTGCCTTTTCCTACTCCCCAGCTCACTTCAGCCTGTGTTCCTTCCGTATGCATGCCTGCTGGATATATAAGCACTTAACAAATACCTGTCTGTCTTTTCTTGCCTTGGCCCAGTCTTTCTTGCTCTGGTGATTGAGTCTGAAGTCTCATGTATGCTACTTAGTGCCCTATCTCTGGGCTACACCCCAGGCTGCTTTTTGACTTGAAAGAGGACCTCACTAGGTGGCCCAGTCTGCTCTTGATCTCCCCCTGCGCTCCAGCGTGTCTCACACTTGAGATTCTCCATCTCCAGCCTCGGTTCTGTGCCACAAAATGAGCTGTTTTTATTGTTTCTCTGTTTCCTTTTCTTCAATAGAGTATTCGTTTATTAGAGTGATAGAATACATTTTATAGTTCTCAGGGAAGTGTCAAATTTGATGAAGTAAACAAGATAGATGCTAAGAGCTTACTCATAAAAAATATAACAGTGCGTTACACTCATGAACTCAGTGTGGGTACCTGCACAAAATGGAGTCCACCAGCACAGCACTGTGGATGAGGTGGGGACTCATGATACATCATCCTTTCCTGAGGCATTGCAAGCTTTTATGTCTGCTGGGAGAAGGGAGCCTGGCTCCTCAGTAGCACAGCCACCAGAGGGCGCCCTTGCTCAAGTAAAAGACCCCTCCATCCGCGGTCAAGCAACCCTAGTTAAATTGCGGATCTGGGGTGGGTGACCTAGCAAAAAGACATGAAGGGGGACATGTTGGGAAGATGAAGGTGTTTGGCAAGACTGGGGTTGGGTAAGTGAGGATGGAGGGGATCACGACCAAGGTACATTACATACAGGTATAAAATTGTGGATGAATAAATACAAATAAAAAATACAATCAGTGGGCATCTAGGAACCCCCAGTGGTTAGAATGGGCAGTGTGGCGTTCTTCTGGAGAGAGTGGATACAATAGACTGTTTTATGGAAAAGTCTATTCACACATTAAGTCAACAGAACATTAACTTTTTAATTTAATAATATTAACATTTTAACTTACCGGTGAGAACGTTTTCACACTTTCTACAATTGGTCGGTATCCGGTACATCGGCACAGATTGCCTGGTAAGCAAGGAATGAGTCAGGTCTTAAGGTCTCATACAGAAATAGGCTAAGCACATTTATGTTTAGCGTTTTCAGCAAAATGGGCAAATTTATCTTTGCTCTGAAACCCAGCAAGACTCTTCGAAAAAACACTTCTTTTGGAGATGTTCATGAACAACAGGTCATGTGATTACAGTTTTTTCTTTGGAGACACTAGAGAAACCTTCACATTTTCTCACCAACTCTTCCTGCCTTATTTCATGCCTGACCCCTAAACAGAAGACCCATTGTTGTCATGACTTCCTCACAGCTGTGGGAGGAGCAGTTTCCTCTGCCAGCCAGCTCCATCAGATGACCAGCCTCACTCCAGATGCTACAATGGAGTTAGGAGATCATGACCTGGAGCCTCTGAACTGTGAGTCAAGGCAAATCCGTTCTCTTCATAAGTTAATTAACTCACGAAAAGCTGCCTAACACAGGGATTGTTTTTGGAGGTCTCTGGCTCGTTCTTGGGGGAAGACTATTCCTCTGATTGTCTGGATCTGACAATGGCGTGTTGGGTCACTTGTGAGTTCACCTTGGTTTACTTGTCGAATCATAAGTTGGAGAAGCAAGACCGCCTTGGAGGTTCTTGAACCCACCGCGAAAGCACAGTGCATATTCAATACGTAGCTATTTTCAGTCAGCATTCCCAAAACACGGTTAGCAGCAGGAGAAAAGCTGCCGCCCTTAAAACAGTGTCTGAATCCAGGTGTGGTGTCCCACGCCTTTGATCCCAGGGCTCAGAAGGCAGAGCCCAGCCTGGTCTACAGAGTGAGTTTCAGGACAGCCAGGGACTACATAATGAGATCCTGTCTCAAAAGTTTGAAAATGTATTGTGCAAATTTTACAAGCAGTTTGAACAGTAACTATGAAGAGGTCTTAATAACACAGGGAAATTCTCACAATTTCTTTGATCCTCAAAGCTCTTAGTAGCTCCACTGGGTGCTCAGGGATTCGCTGAGTAATGAAAAGATGACGGATAGCTCACTCCATTCTGGCTTGGTTAAAATCACCACCAAAGCCATAGGCCACAGCAGTTAACCAGAAACTGAAAATTTTGAATGAAGAAGCTGTTGAGAGAAAATACTAAGGAACACCTGTGTGCCAATTCCAAAGACATTGAAATTGAACTTTGATCTAGTTTTCTTCCACATCTTCTCCTCATGATCGAGTTTCTGCCGGTGTCATTTGTGGAAGGGGACAAGAAGCGGCCTTTCAGATCAATGAGTTGCACCAATACTGTTAATAATACCTGAGATCTCATATCCCGAAACTAGGAAGGTTTGCTATAGGAACTACATTTGTTAATGTGTCTTTTTAGATACAAAGTCAGAATTTTTATATTTAGATTTATCACTATAGTTTAGGAATTGAATTGTTCACTGTTTGCTTTTGAAAGAAAATCCATTATTTCTGAGCTGCCTCCCAACCAGCCAGTGCATAAAGATGTACAGTACCTGAAAATCTCTTTCCTCTTTTCTTTGTAGCACTAATTTTAGTAAGTAATGTTAGCAAGTTATTTTGACTAGTTAAAATGCAAGCAACAAAGCTGGGTAGTGGTGGCGCACGCCTTTAATCCCAGCACTCGGGAGGCAGAGGCAGGAGGATCTCTGTGAGTTCGAGGTCAGCCTGGTCTACAAGTGTTAGTTCCAGGACAGGCTCCAAAGCTACAGAGAAACCTTGCCTTGAACCTCCCCTCCCCCTTGAAAAAATACCATTAAATCATCAATAAAAGAAAAGGTCTTATAATGAAGCCAGTATTGCCCCGGCTACCAGCCTCAGGGCTGCAGAACCAAGACGGTGTCCGTCTGCCTCAGCGTCTTTCCAAGGAGCTGGGTTGTCTCTCTTTAGTTCCCTAAGGATTGCTTGCCAAACAAATCCTCACCTCCAAGTGCCTCGGTGATCTGATCAGGCGTCGGCTCTGGGTGGTTCCTGAGCAGCGTGTAGATGGACATCACCATGCCAGGGCTGCAGAATCCACACTGCGTGCCGTGACACTTGGCAAGCCGTTCCTGAGAGACAGAGGTACGCCATTAGCGCATTAGACCCTTGGCCTTGCATGCTAGCCAGCAGCACAGAGTCTAAACTTCAGGAGGAAGAAGATCAATTTCTTGAAGTCAGATACATGTATTTCTTAAAGTCAGATACATGTATTTCTTGAAGTCAGATACATGTATTTTGTCAAAAGAAAAGTCTACTAACAGAGTGATTCTCATGTGTGCTTTCCTTCTTTTTTCCCCCAGTAGCTCACTTACTCTATCCTTTGGGTGATTTATTCAATTTTCCTTCATCTTTACCATTGGCCCTGCAATTTACAGAACAAACGACTGTGTGTGAAACATTCAGCAGGGTCTGGACAGGCGTCTTCACGCTTTTTCTTATTTAGAGACTTTTTGGTGTACTAAATGTTATAATCTATACATTAAAAAAAATGGATATCTCCTTTATATTGTTGGGCTAGTCACACATTTAAATCATGCACATTCAATTTCATGCAGAGAAAACACTGGGGAAAAAGCCAATGTATTTGCTCTGTGCAAACTCCCTAAGCCAGGAAGCTGCCAGTGGAGCCAGGTCTGTCACTCAGTTCAGCCTGTCTGTCGCTAGACGCTCATGTAGCAGACTTGAGTATGATTCGAGTGCTCTCAAATGAACATTCTGCCTTCCAAACATCATGGCCCCTATAATGAAAGTGGATATTCTGTCTGTGACTTGACGGAAAGGACAGACATTATTTTAGTGTGAGGGGACAACATGGCTGTGTTGGATTTGTCGCTACACGGCAGTTGTGTCTGCTGTGATAGATAATCTAGGCTGTAGAATCTGCTGGTGTGTTTAACACGTGGCTCTCCCAGCAAGACAGAGCCCTTCACGTGCCTCTTCTTTCCAAATTTTTAATGTACAAATACCTCCACTCCCACGGCAAGCACAATTATACAAACCAAGGGTGTCTAGTTTAATTCGACTCGAGGATATATCTAAAGACAGCCAGCGGAAACCCTGCAAATTTAACAATCGACTTTTGCAAGCCAGGGCAAGCCTGCTCCGGGGCACCACTGACCAGATGTGACTCGTATCCCATCAAGACCTGGGAGAGTTAAATCGACTAAACACCAAAGGAAGCACTTTTAGAAGAAAAGTGAGGAGAAGCGATTGCGGGGTAAGATCTACAGAACCCAGCCGCTTGAGCTCAGGGCTGGAAGGGACAGGTCTCTCTGCCAAGGGTGGCGGGCGGTTCCTGCTACAACCTTTCAAAGAAGGAGCCTTCTCTTTCTACATTCTGCCTTTAAAACTCAGCCAGCAGGAGTTCCTGCTCAGTCACAAGGAAACAATGTTGCCCCGTCTTTGGACAGCCTTCCCAACTTGAGAAACCACCCTGCTGATTTTAACTGTAGCAGGTACTTGGGTGATGTTCCTGGAGAAATCTCACACACAGCTGACTTCTCATCAGCATCTCACACATTGGAACAGCGAGGAATGAAGAAGTCTGTTTTCTACAAACTTTGGTTTTCTGCCTCATTTTCTTCTTGAGTAGGACTGGCCTGGTCTTTTAGTTACTGCTAAGTACAAAGTTGAGAAGGTCTCTTAGATAGTAAAAACATAAAGGGTTTTGCGCTTGAGGAGCTCAGGAGAGCACACCAGACTATGGGCCATGCCTGTACCATCTTGGAGAGCTCAGGAGAGCATACCAGACTATGGGTCATGCCTGTACCATTTTGGAGAGCTCGGGAGAATACATCAGACTATGGGCCATACTTGTACCAGCGTCTGGCCCCATCACACTGTGATCTTACCTGCACGGGGTGAATCCTCTTTCTGATGCTTCCCACACCTTCCACTGTGGTAATGGCTGCCCCATGGAGAGAACAGATGGGCACCAAGCATGCTGTGGCTGGGTAGTGGCTGGGATGGGCTGATGTAAAGAGCATACACTGAAATCATGGGGGCATGGGTGACAATACAGTAATTTCAGTCCAGGAGAACGGCAAGGCTGTATTTTCCCATCTGTAGAGAAGATGCCCTAGACAACCATAGACTTGTGGCCATGCCTGAGAAAGAACTTACATATCCCAAGTGGAGGAAGTAAAAGAGAGGGTGCTTTTATGTTGGACTCCTAGGTGACCTTCCTTCACCTTTTCTTATTTTATTTTATTTTTTCTCCTTTTAAGGCAAGTAAGGAAACTTTCTTCTTTGGATCATAAATGTCGCTGAAGGTCTCAGCCCTATGCAATGAGCTCCAGGTAATTAGGGATGCCGACAGGGGGAGAAGTAGTCTTCCCCAGGGAAGAGCACTCCTCTGGCTATCTGACGCCAGATGGTCAGCCGTGAAAATGTGTGTATGCAAGAAACACTGAGGGCTGAGAAGGTTATATTTGGGAATTCGTATGTGTATATAATTCCTTCTTGCATCTCTTCCTTTTTGTTTTAGCATGTGTGTGTGTGTGTGTGTGTGTGTGTGTGTGTGTGTGTGTGTGTGTACATACATGCACATAACAGCAATTAATGAGAAAAGAGGTCATAAATTTGAAAGAAAGCACAGAGGGGCATATAAGAGGGTTCAAGGGGAGGAAAGGGAAGGGGAAATGCTGTAATCATGTAATTATTAATTATGTTTTAATCTGAAGGTGACAGTCTGGCACCTAGTTTCATGTGTGGCCTCTGCATCCGGATCCACCATGAAGTGAACTTTGCCTCTCACAGCCTCTGCCACAGATGGAGGAGCTGGGCTCTACCTCCCTCACTCAGGGACTGAAGTCTCCTGGAATTCTGGGTCTCAGCAAATGTCTCTAGCTGTAAGTTGCTCTGATCCATATCTTGGTCACAGTGAGGAAAAGTAGCCACTACGAGAGGCCAGGGTAAGATGGATTTGACCACTGAGTGGTTCAGTAGATGGTTCTCAACCATGGAATGCTTCCAAGAACAGGAACATTCTTGTATTGGGGTCCAACTAGGTTAGAATTCCTGGGCTGAGATCAACCAGCCACTGTTAGGTCCTTTACATGATGCTGGTGTTTCAGCACAATTATCTTCCTTCCTTCTCTCTTTTCTTCCTTTTCTTTAGTGTGTGTGTATGTATGAATGTATGTGTGTGTGTGTGTGTGTGTGAGAAAGCATATATGTGCGTGTCAGTATGCGTGTATATGTATGTCAGGATGTGTGTTGTTTGTGTGTGCAGAGATATGTGTGTGAGTGAGTGGATGTGTGTGTGCATGTGTGCAAGTGTGTATGAGGGCATGTTTGTGAGTGTGGGGGGGGTGTGCATGTGTGAGAAAGCATAGTGTGTGTATGTGTGTGCATGTGTACATATTAGTTTGTGTGTGCAGAGGTATGTGTGTGAGTGAGTGGATGTGTGTGTGCACATGTGTGAGTGTGTATGAGGGCATGTTTGTGTGTGTGTGTGTGGGTGTGCACATGTGCGCACACATCTTTCTTTGCCCATCTCCCTTTCTTTTTTCTGACAGTGTCCCACCCCTCTCTGCTCTCCTGAAGTCCGTGTTACCTTTCAGATGGTCTGGCTGAGAACCTGCATCTACCACAAAGACATTCATAAAGCTTAATTTTTTTGCTGCTCTTTCTCAGTTTTAAACATGGGTGACAGTCACACTCCCTTGACATTGTTTGAATAACTAAATTTGATGACATAGTTAATATGTAAGCATTTTTTTTAAAGTTTTTTTGTTGCTGTTGTTTTGTTTTTCGAGACAGGGTTTCTCTGTTGCTTTGGAGCCTGTCCTGGAACTAGCTCTTGAAGACCAGGCTGGCCTCGGACTCACAGAAATCTGCCTGCCTCTGTCTCCCAAGTGCTGGGATTAAATGCACGCACCACCACTGCCCGGCTAATGTGTAAGCATTTTGAACAGTGTATGACATTCAGTAGGCACTCAATTATTTTACCATCATCTTGCTATTACCGTTAGTACACCCCATAAGTTATAACTCCGGAGTTATAGCTTCTCTGAACAGTAAAGCTCTACATATAAACACCTGTTGGTCAATACCCTAGAGACAGCTCATAAGGACCCTAGATGTGTCCCCAACTAATGTGCCACTTCCTGCCTCCTCAGCTTCTCCTCTTCCAAGTTCTATGGTTCATGAATGACACCGCCCACCCGTCACCCAAGGCGAAATCTTGCCAGTTACACAGGCGACTCCTCCGTCACCTCCACCACCAGAGAGCAGATTTGTATTTTCAGGTCAAGATACTGCAGCTTGGTTTGAGTAATCACCCTCTCCTCCTGGGAAAATGACTCTTGTCAGTGTGTGCTGGGTCCCAAATCTCACTAACTCCCACTAACTCCACCCTAGCCGTTCTTGCAGACACTTCTCGGAACTCCTGTTCAAGGGCAAAGGAACTATTTTACAGCAACGGAGAACAGAACCCCGGGAGCTCAGAACACAGGACAAGTGAGTCCTGCTGGGCAGAACATTTGTGGAAGAGAGATGGAGGCAGGGTGAGACTTGGAGACAGGAGGGAGGGGTGCAGAGTTACAGGAAAAGTGAAGTCTTCACAGGAAGTCTCCTTGTCCCTCCCAGATGTGCCCAGAGCGTAGCCAGGCCAGAGAAAAGGATACTGAATCTTCTTGCTCTTGGGATCATATCGTGACACCATCACCGTGCAGGCGCCACAGCCTCCTCCCCCGCAGCCATATTTAGTGCCTGTGAGACGGACTGGAAGGAGGAGAGTCAAGGAAAAGGGACCTGAGTAACTTCGGTTGTTCTGTTTCTCTCCCTTGGATGTCGATAACAAGCAGCGTGTTCAGGAATCGTGTACAGCGCTGGTTGCGGCTTCTCACTGAAAGCGTTGGCTCAAGTTGCTGCCTACCTCCCAGCTCACTGATGAAAGCTGAGGAGGGGCTAACCAAGAGCCAGACCAGCTTTTTGAAAACTGGGTCCCATGGCATTTCTGAATATAAGAATTCCCAACTCAGTTGGAAAGGTGATAAGTAAATAGCTGGAGTCTAGCTCGTTGGTAGACTGCTTGCCTCCTGAAGCTTTAGGTTCTATCCTCAGCACCCAAAACAACAACAAAAAAAGAACTAACAGATGCTGGATATTGCAATTTATACTTACTATTACTAGGGCTTGGGAGGGCTGAGGCAGGGGGATTGCTGCGAGTTTGATGACAGCTTGGGTAACAGGGAAATCTAGGGTAGCCTGGAATACACAGAGAGACTCTGTTTCTTAGGAGCAAAACCAAGAAAGGAGATGCTATGCCATTTCCAGTGGGTGTAGGGCAGTGCCTTGCGGTCAGTGCGCATATATGTCTGCAGTGAACCACGTGTGCATTCTGGTTGTGTAAGACACACAAACAACATGAGCCTGAGGCCAGCAACTTAGTGTTTGCACCCAAATGCAAAGTGGAAGAGCTCATGGCTTCTGCAGAACTCGGAACTGTGGGCCACGGGAGATGAATCCAAATAGCACCCTGTCTTTGGGTGCCATAGAAGGTGGTTTGTGTGAATGAATTCAGAGACATCCTCCTGGGAGGCTCAATTTTCTCTGGTACAGCAGAATTTACTTTTGCTTTGTAGTGGAATTAGAAAACATTAATTTAAGGGCGGAGGATATAGAACAGCAGCAGACCGTGTTTGGCTTGTGTGCGTGTGTGCGACCCTGGGTTCAATGCATTTATTGTTGGTGAATAACAGTAATCACCGTGACTCTTGAGCCAGTCCTGATCACTATGTCAGATGCTTGTATGTTTTCTCAAAGAGAGAACAAACGATGTATGCAAATGCTGTTTCTTTCTTTTTTTTTCTTTTTAAGGTGCATCCAGGAACCTACCGGAATTGGCTTGGGACCTTTACTGGGTGCAGTTTAAAAGGATCTTATGGGTGGAGCCACAAGATGACAAGGTTGAGTCATTTTCTTTCCTTGATTGCTGCCCTTGGTGAAGAGCTGCTGTCAGGATACTTCTGGTGTTTGGAATACCTACCCCCTAGCCGAGGAGTTCTTTGCATACCTGACTCTGCTCTTTAATTCCGAGTGGGTTAAAGCAGCTCAGGACTGAGAGAGAGGGCTGTAGGCAGTGTGGGTCAGACCTTACAGCACTTCTGTGACTAGGGCACAGAAGGCAGGGAATCCTTTGTTATTGCTTTGGGAGTCTGGAAATTTCAAGTCAAGAAATCCAAGTGCTCTCTGACTCAAAGGTGGAATTGAGCCTTCACTTGGTCAGCATGTGACATCACGTGACAGCCCGTGACATCACGTGACTCACAGCACGTGACAACATGTGACATCCTCTAACTCCTCTGCTGTCTGGACATCCACCAGCTGGTTCCAAAACTCTCTTTCTGCCCGCACAGAAAGCCCTGCCTGGTTCCTTCTGCATTCTATTGGCTCATCTTGGGGCTCCTCGTTAGACAACGTGGCCAGATAAATACAGGACTCTCCGTTAAATCTGAGCTTCAAATAAGCAGCCGATAACGGTGTAGGTTGGGTGTGTCCTACGCAGTCTCAGCTTGAAGTAGCTGTGCTTTGTTTTCGTAAGTGCCAGATACAGAAACATGACTCGGAGCGAGCAGGAGCCAGGCGTTGTAAACTTGTGTTTTGGTCCTTCGCGGGGAAGAGATTTCTCCCTGCCTCCAAGATGGACAGCACTATATCATCCTTAGAAGCTGTCTGAGACTAAACGGACAGACAACACGTACGGGGAACACGCCACCAGAGTGAGACCCTGTCCTTTTCTTCAAAGTTCTCCTTGCTCATCTCTTCCTTGTCTGTCATGTGTATCCGTCCTCACGTTCATCTCTCTCCCAACAAAAACTGTGTTTATTTCTCTAAAAACAAGACGTTCTTTTGCTTCTGGGCACGTGCCTCTGATCAGAACACCCTTGGCTCCAGCACTTCAGCTTTGGCTGAAAAGTTGTGTACTCAACCCTAATCTCATCTCATCTCATCCTCTCCATGCCTGGCTGGGCATCCTTTCCGGTGCTTCACAACATGGCTCTGATCCCTTTCCCCTTGTGCCTGGTACGGCCGTCTCCTTTGCTATGATGGGCCAATGGCAGTGCCTGCCTAGGTTCTGAATACTTAGTGCTCCATAAAATTTGTCCTTTGAATAACACTAACTGCTTTTTTTTTTTTAAATTTGTTTGTTTTTAAGATAGGTCCTGTGGTCCAGGCTGGCCTCAAATTCACTGTTGTTTGGGATGACCCTGAATTCTGATCCTCCTGACTCTATCTTTCCAGGGTTGGGAATACGGTGTCCACCATCACACTTGGTTCATGTGGTGTCAAGAGCTTCATGAACGCTAGGCACGTACTCTACCAACAAAGATTTTCCCCAGCCTCTTGGATGAAGAGGAATTATTTTGAAACTTGCAGAGCTGGATGTCGGGGATGAGAAGGAACAGAATTCTTCGGAGACATTCATGTCCACGGTTTTACGCCAGAGCTAAGAACTCACAGAGATAAACTCCCTCTCCCTCTGAGGGTTATCACCCTCTGACCCAGCAGATCTGGGCAGGCCAGCGGGGGATGGGTATGCTGACTCAGTGGGGGACAAAGGCCATCGCAACTCCTGACGTTGTGCATAGAGGAGGTGGAACAGTAGCAGGGAGAGAACTATGTCCATTGTGTGTCACAGACTGGGCCTAAGACAGCAGTAAATTGGGGTTTTCTGGGGCCTGACATTTCTGTAATATGAAAGGTGCGATGTAAGAAAAGATTAATCAATTATGACCATAAACATAGAACCAGGATCTAAGGAGAGCCAGAAGCTAACCTCAGTGTCTTTCCATAGGCCCAGTCAGAAATTGTGTGTGTGTGTGTGTGTGTGTGTGTGTGTGTGTGAAAGGAACAGTCTCTCACTGGTCTGGATTTGGACAAGTACACTAAGCCGCCTAACCAGTGAGTTCCGGCGATCTACTTGTCTCCCTCTCCTGTGTACCCATGCCTGTGTTTGAAACGCTTTTTTGTTTGGTTGGTTGGTTTTTGGAGACAGGGTTTCTCTGTAGCTTTGGAGCCTGTCCTAGAACTAGCTCTTGTAGACCAGGCTGGCCTCGAACTCACAGAGATCCGCCTGCCTCTGCCTCCTGCATGCTGGGATTGAAGGCATGCGCCACCACCGCCTGGCTTAAATGCTTTTATAAACGTTGAACTCATTTCCTTGTCCTTGTAAGACAGATACGTTACTGACTGAGCTGTCTCCCTCGCCCCAGTGAGTACATGTGTTTAACTTAAAACATTATTGCGGTCTCCAGGGAAGGATAGGAGACAACCACGTGTTTTCACGGCCCAGCTCTCCTCAGCTGACGAAATCCACATGGGAATAGCAGGCTGTGCCATGACACTAAGGCCAGAGCGTAGGCTGGAGAGATGGCTCACTGGGTAAGGAGCCTGCTGCTGAGCCTGAATCTGATATTGATGCCTGAACTCGTGTGGTAGAAGAGAGAACTGGCATCCTTAGGGTTGTCCCCTGTCCTACACGCGTGTTCTGTGGCTCTCTATTCAAATGCAAAAAGAGACAAAATTCAGGAACCTGACAGCAGAATGGGAGGACAGAACTTATGCAGAGTTTGCTTGCTATTTATATGTTTACATGTCTGTGTGTGTCCACCTGTTACATATGTGTCTACATGCCTGTGTGTCCACCTTTTACATATGTGTTTACATGCCTGTGTGTCCACATGTTACATATGTGTCTACATGCCTGTGCGTCCACCTTTACATATGTGTTTACATGCCTGTGTATCCACCTGTTACATATGTGTCTACATGCCTGTGTGTCCACCTTTTACATATGTGTTTACATGCCTGTGTGTCCACCTGTTACATATGTGTCTACATACCTGTGTGTCCACCTGTTACATATGTGTTTACATGCCGGTGTGCATGCCCACCTGTTACATATATGTTTATGTACCCGTGAGTGTCCACCTGCTTTGTTACACATGCATTCACACACCTATGTGTGCAGTTCTATGCCAGCTCGTGTAGAGATTGTGTAACCACAGCGCCAGTCACTAGCTGGTGCCGCTCCCTCACGGTTGCGCTCAAACGCAGAAACTCTTCTCAGAGAACTGTTTACCAATGTCTGACGGAAACCTCACAGGAGAGGGAAATCCAGCCCCGACGGAAAAAGGAATGAAAGGACAGAGGTGAAGATCTGAAAGAATGTCAGAATTTGGAAACATATTTATAAAAAGTTTGTTTTCTCTGCCAAGAATTACGCAAGGGCGGAGGAGGAGGAGGCAGCTATAAAGTCTTGTGGGGACGCCGTCATGGGGACACACGCCCTGAACGTTTGGCAGGACACAAGTTTGCCTAGAGATGTTTAATCCCTGGGGTGAATGTGGGCCTCAGAAGTCACGAGGTTGTTTGCAGAGTAGGCACTCATGGTCCCCAGGAGGGTGAAAATGCAATAAACAAGCATGAATCCATAAGTCCATTATGAATCCATACAGCCCATTCTTGGAGCTCCAACTAGACGCCACAAACGGAGCACAAATCGTTTACCTAGAATGGCTGCAGATGACTCTTCTTATCATTATGTTTTTAAAGATTTATTCTTATTATTTTTATTTACGTGTAGGTGTCTATGTGAATGTGTGCCGTGTTTTCGTGTGCGCGTGAGCACACCTGCTGAGAATAAGAGAGGACGCAGGCTCCCTCTGGTGCTGGGCGTGTGCGTTGCCAGGGGGTGGTGAGCAGTGTGATGTGGGTGTTGGGACTGGGAGGACCAGTAGGGGCTCTCACCACTGAGCCACTGCCCTGCCAGCCCTTCTGAAAAAGCTGAGCCGTTTTCTACCCATTTACCGTCAAAGGATATGAACTTTCCTCAGGTAGAAGAGCAGATTCACTTCAGGGTCAGGGCTCTTCTCTATGACCTACAATGTGAAACAAGGGGAGGGGCTGAGGCAGATGTTGTCATGGGTTACAGCAATCCAAACCTCTGTAGCGAGAGCGCGTTTACAATGTGGGTGGCTTTACAGAAATCTCTTGGTGATTCTTGGAACCAAAACTTTGGAGAGACAGTGTTTCATTCGGGAGAGTCAGGAAGAAATGCTTGTCTGAATTCTCTATCATCTATGGCAAGCGTTTACTCCTGACTTAACTCAGAAAGAATTGAATGGGAAACAGACGCACAAAAATGACTCTGATAACTCACATAAAGTTATCAAAGTTTTGCAGAAAGTTGTGCAAATACGTTAGCAGAGATGTTCCTTAGCACCAGGGCCCTCGCCTCCCAGCTCTACCAGGGTGTGAGGAAGAGCCACGTGGTCGCATCGCCTTTGCGCATGGCAAATGAACCACTGGTCTCTTTACTCCACACCTCCCGTTTGCAGGTCACCTTCTAAGGTCCCCAGAAGATTTACCAACGCAGAGATCAGCTCAATACCCACACTGCAGGCTCTCTCTCTCTCTTTCTCTCTCTCTCTCTCTCTGTGTGTGTGTGTGCGCGCGCGCGCGCGCGCGCAGGGGCCTAAGAACAGAGGTGCAGCGTCCCGAATCGCATGTTCTTTCGCACTCTAACTGTGACGAACGTCGAGAAGATTGTCAAAGTGAGGCAAAAGACAGCAACAGCGGCTGATAGCCGGAAGAACTGCCGTTCCTTCTTCCCGTTTCCCCTGTCCCCAGATCAAGACCTGATGACACCTCAGGCTTGCATTTCCAGCTATAGCATGTCTGGTAAAAGCTGCCCTTTCAGTCCATGTGTCAGCAGTGACTGCCACACAGGCGGACTGCTGTCCCCTTCAGCCACGCATGCGTGTCTCAGGTCCAAGGAGCATAGAGTATGTATGGCAGGGCTCCAGAAGAAGAGCAAGGTTTGATTTGGAGTGATTAAAAGCCTGTCAGCTGCAAACCAGAAGCCAAGCAGCCAACATTCCCAGCCGCTGGAAAAAGATCTCGGGAACTGTGTGAAGGAACAAACTTCTTCTTAGCAAGCATGGGAAAGGGGGAGCGAGGGCCTTAATAACCGCCAGTGTGTGCTGCAAACAACCCAGAGACGGCAACAGGAGAGTAGCAGAATGCTGGAAGTCAGCCCGGAGCAAGCGCCTGTATGCCAGCTATCAACAAGACAGATGTTTTCACTGAGAGCACGGGGCAGTCCACCAGCTGTGGGGAAGGCAGTCTGTACTGGAATTTGGAAAGACACCAGGACGAGCCTTGCTGCCATTTCACACTCCGTCAGCAGTTCTGCTGAGTGAGGATGGTTCATGCAGCGTTTTTGGAGGGAGGGTTTGTGGGAGGGGGCACAGGACAGGGGGGACGGGACGGGGGACGGGGGGGGGGGAGGGACGGGACTGTATGGAAAGGTAGCCTGTGTCTTCAACAGTAGGACAAACCAATGAAAGATAAGCCCGCCCTCGAGAGCCGCACCCTGGTGAGGCGCGTTTTCAAAGAGAAACTCAAATCCAAGATCGGTGCTGAGTCCCCAAACAAAAGAAACCAAAAGAAGTCTCGCAAATTCAGAAGCCAGGCATTCGTGCCCCACAAACACAGCCTCTCTCTGCATTTCTGCGTGGGCACGTGAAAGGCAGCTGGGAAAGAGACAGTTTGACATGGCCAGAAAAGCGTATGGGGGAGGCGCAGAGAAAGAAAAAAGCCCCCGCAAGTGAGACACCTTGGGGAGACTGTGGGGTGATGGGCTTTGATGGGCACCGTGCTTCGGCCAACTTGAGCCCTGCGTCTAAACAAAAGAACCGGTTGTGGCCAGAACACTAGCTTCAGAACTGTGTAGATTGGCCCCCATTTTTATGACGTCTACAATTTGTCCTAGAAATGTGTAAGATAAAAATGAGCTAAAAGCACCTGCACGTCAGTTACACATGGAAGAGACTGGAAACTCACTTTTGGGAAGCGTGCAAGGAGTATTTTAGCAACAAAACATCAAACAACATTAAAGGGCGCATCAGCAAAACTCCTTCCCCCTTCCCCCCAGCACAGACCTCAGCCTTGCAATCTCTAGATGTCCTAGGCTCTTTCGGGTCATCCCATATTGTTACACCAGGGTTTCTTTCTGTTCTACTTTTTTCCTTTCCATCTGTCTCTCTGTCTGTCTGTCTGTCTGTCTGTCTGTCTCTCTCTCTCTCTGTCTGCCTCTCTCTCTGTCTCTCTCTCATTCTGTGTTTACAAGTTTACAAGGCTCTCAGAAATGACCTTTTCTCCACTATTTGACTGGAAAAATTGCTAAGAATTTTTGCCTTTATTGAAGCTTCGTTTCTTCCATTAGAAAACTCGGCAACATAGCAACCCTGAGGTGTAGGAAACAAGACTTAACAAATTACCAAAATAGCATTTAATTTTACTTGTTTTTTTCTTGTTAACTGCCACACACAAGTAAATATAAATTCTGACTATAAAGTACTCTGCACTTCCGATGTGCTTGTTTTTCCTCTCCAGAACATGGTCGAGGACATCTCTTGGCTCTGTCATTTGCAGAGACTGCCTAGCTACTGCACTGCCTGCCAGGGAGCCTCTGGCTCCGGGGTGATGGGCTTGGCTGAGGGAATTCCTATCATTTGATATCATTTGAGAGTTGTTTGCTGTTGTTGCCCCCAGGGTCTTGCCTCTTTCCTGGGCAAAGGTCATTAGTGAACTCAGGTGGAGCTCCTATCTAACCAATACAGAAGGGATATCGGCTGCTCACCCCTGTAGCCTGAAGCAGTCCTGTCAGAATTCACACTTGCCGTCATACAAAGTAAAACATTCCTTTCTATTCCCAGTGAGGATGAAGAGCAAGCGGACCCTCCACGGTTTCACCATCGGATGGGAAAGTGGAGATAGCGACCCGTGTTTACAGTTGTGCCCCTACCAAGACTCTGAGGAGAGGCACCACAGAGGAGAAGCAGCCCGACTTCGCCCTCTGTGAAGGAAATGTACGTATGCCAGACACTTACCTTTCTTCCATTCACAAAAAATATCAGCTCGTCAGAGTTGGAAACGGAAGGCATCGTGTCGATGGAAAAACCGAAAACGCAAAGGTGAAGTCAATGCCCCACTGGCAAATGTATCTATCCTGGTATACCAGAGCAGTCCCGGGGAAGTCAAGACCGGTGGCACAACCCAACACTGGTGAGATTTATAGTCATGCTGCCAGTCCTGCCTGCCCGGCCCACGGAGGCTTGGCAACTCTTGGCAGCATCCGGTTCTCTCTCTGGCACGAGAGAGCCAAGCATTCCTATGACTGTTTGAAGTCTGAGACTGGTTTTTCCATGTTGGGTTTAGAATCAGGGGCTAATCTATGAGAAGTGACTTTTAAATAGATGATTATAATTGCGTTTAAAAAATTAACAAGCCTATTAACTAATACCAAGCTGCTCACATGAGGGAGACTGATGCCTTCTCTGGTTCCTCTTGGGTTTAACCGCAAAGGAGGATTGTCTCATGGATGTGATGAAAGACCTCAAATACATCTTTAATTTTTTATTAATTCATCTTGTGTATATGCATATTTTGTCTACACGCGTGTCTGTGGACCACAGGTATGTCTAATGATCATGGAAGCCTGAAGAGGCATTGGATTCCCTGGAACTGGAGTTACAGATGATTGTGAGGTAATATGTCGGTGCTGGGATTTGAACCCTAGTCCTCTGGAAGAGCAGCCAGGGTTGTTAACCACTGAGCCAACTCTCGAGCCCCTCCACTGTGTCTTCAAAGCTTTATTAAAACAACCTGCAAGTACCTTCTCTGCTCTTGATTTTTTTCTGTACTTACTTGTTCCTACTCCCAAAAATCTGAGAATTTAAGATAACAAATTATTTCAAGGTTCTTGTGCTCAGTAAAACCCTAGATACATATGTATTTGAAATCACTAACATGTACTCAGGGTTGCTGTGGGCTCGAGGCTGTTCTCACAGGTTGGGAATTTTGTATAATCTCAGGAGAGCATTATTGTCACCACCACCACCACCACCACCACCACCACCACCACCATCACCACCACAATCCCTACTTTATAAATAAGAACAATGAGACACAGAGATTTTAAGTGGCTTGCCCAAAGAGTTGGGTTGCCGTGGAGTCTGCAACTTTAACTTTTCCTGGGATGTAATAGACGTCGGGTGGGAGTTGGGCCAAGGAACAGTTGTGCCAGGTTCTGAGGGCCCTGGAGCCACCGGGAGAGGTGTTTGGAGGCTCCTAAGAGGGCTGGATGTCATCATGGATTTGGGTAGGATGGATTGCATTTCAGAATTTACAGCTGCTAGGGAGAGGGAAGAGCTGGGGGGAAGGTGAGCCAGAGCTACAAGTTATGACATCGGCACAGTCGAGAGGTTTGGATGTAGACTTAATGAGTGTGGTGGGGGAGCAGGCGTCCCATTGGCTGGAGGTGTGTGTGGGAAGCCCAGCTGCAGAACCTAGCAGCTGGCTGTGAGATTTTTAAGTCCTATCTGCACAGGTTAAGTTTGAGATGCTAACACTCACTCACACACACACACACACACACACACACAGACACAGACACACACACAGATACACACACAGAGATACACAGGATACACACACATACACACACAGACACACACAGAGATACACACAGGATACACACACAAAGACACACACAGAGATACACACAGGATACACACACAGAGATACACACACACAGACACACACAGATACACACAGGATACACACACAGTATACACACACAGATACACACAGGATGCACACACAGGATATACACACACAGACACAGAGATACACACACACAGACACACACAGATACACACAGGATGCACACACAGGATACACACACAGACACGCACACAGACACACAGATACACACACAGATACACACACACAGATGCACACACAGATACACACAGACACACACAGAGATACACACAGGATACACACACACACACACTGTGAATGGCTGTTGGATCTTCAAGGTTACCTTGTTTTCTTTTTTATCTTCATCAGAGCAAGGGCTGGCAGGTCCACAGTTGAACCTTACCATCTGCACGGACCTCTGCCTGCTGCCTCAGTGATCCCCAGTGTCTTCTGCTCCATGCTCCATGCCTGTCCAGGGATTTGAAACATAGAAATGGGGTAACCTCGGGAAATGGGCAGCAATGCAGTGGATGGGGTATGGTGTCACAGCTAAGTGACTTAAGTTGAGTTTTGAGGTGGTGAGGGAGGGAGTATCTTGTCTGAGCAATCACAAAGGAGACTCCCACCAAGAGGATGTGTGAGAAAGAGCAAATACAGCGGTCTCCAGAGAAGACGTGACCTTGGCATGTTAAAGAAGGAGAGTGTAACTGAGTGTGGAGAGCAGGGGTGAGTCAGAGATGCAGGGGTGAGGCAGAGTTGTATGCAGGGGTGGGACAGAGATGTAAGGTAGAGACAGAGAAAATGACAGGGGTAAGACAGAGGTGCAGGGGTGAGACAGAGATGCAGGAGTGATGCAGAGATGCAGGGGTGAGGCAGAGATACACACAGGGCTGAGACAGGGATACAGGCAGAAGTGAGGCAGAGATGCAGAGATGAGGCAGCGATGCACTTAGGGGAGAGACAGAGATTATGGCAGGGGTGAGGCAGGAGTGAGACAGAAATGTAAGGGGTAGGCAGAGATGCAGACAGGGGTGAGACAGAGATATAGGCAGGGATGAGACAGATGTAGGGGTTAGGCAAAGATACATACGAGGTGAGACAGAGATTATGGCGGGAGTGAGACAGAGATGCACACAGGGGTGAGACAGATGCAAGGGTGAGGCAGAGATGCAGGCAGGAATGAGGCAGAGATTCAGGGATGAGAAGATGCAGGCAGGAGTGAGGCAGAGATTCAGGGATGAGAAGATGCAGGCAGGAGTGAGGCAGAGATGCAGACGGGCGTGAGGCAGAGATGCAGGGGTGAGGCAGAGATACAGGGGTGAGACAGAGGTTGGGAAGGAAAGCCCCAGGAAGTTTCCATGTAGGATACAGCATAGAGCAATTTGAACTCAGTCATCCTTGGTCTGGGGCTGGGGCTCAGTTTGTAGTGCTTGCCTAGCTTGCATGAAGCATTGACTTTGGTCTCCAGCACCATATAAACTGGCTATGGTAAAAGATTCCCATAATTCCAGCACTCAGGAGGTAGAGGCAAAGTCAAGAGTTCAAGGTCAAGCTCTATTGCAGGGTGAATCCAAGGTCAGCCTGGGATTCACGAGACCCTGTTTTAAAAGAATGAAGTTGGAGATTTGGCTCAGAGATTAATGGTGTTCGTTACACTTCTAGAAGACCCACGTTTGGACCTTAGATGAGGAGGCTCACAACCACTTAGAACTCCGGAGGAGCTCCAGGAGATCTGACGTCTTCTGGCCTCGGTGGGCACCCACACATCCATGACACACACGGAGACATATTCATACCCATAAACAAGATAAACTTCGCAATGAAAATTCTATTATTCTCAGGTATAGAGAAAGAATTGTTAGTAGTGCTATCGACACAGCTCTGAAGCCTTTTCTGTATGCCGCAGGCTAGAGGTGACACCAGCTTAGACTGTGGTGTGATGTGGCAGACTTAGCGATAAGTATGGAGGGAAAAGTGCATCTTTTGTATGGAATTTGGGGACACGGCCAACTGGACCAGTTGACAGATTAGATAAGAATTGGGTAAAAAGTAGAGGAGCCGACTCTGTAGGACTGGGGTTCAGGGAAAGGAATAAAGATGTCCTTTCTTGGATCTATACTGTTTAAATTGCCTCTCTGAGTCCCAAGGGTGGATGCCAGTGGAATACAGGAGTCTAGAGGACAACGGAGGTTAATTTAATTAAACATCAGGTCATCGACTGCATTAGCACAAACTCCGTGGGGACCGTGATGCACTAAGGAAAAAGCCCTCTTTCTGTGTGGCAGGAGGATGCTGTAGATGGCTAGGTGATGTGTCCTTCCCCAAACTGCTTTGCCTACCCTGTGAGGTCAGGAGGGCCACTCCTGCCTCCAGAGGAGAGGTCACAGCAGGCAGGCTCAGGCCAAACAAACCTTTGATGCCTTTGGCAGTGACAGTGGACAGGATTCCCGGAGAGAGTGCCTCGGACAAATATCCTCACCACTGCCAGCATCCCAAGTCTGCCATAGAATTTTTGTTCTGCTGGTTTTCCTTCCAGTTGTGCAGGACTGGGGCTTTGCACAAGGCAGAATAGGGCCTGAGGGGTGTGTGTGTGTGTGTGTGTGTGTGATTGCACGCATGTGTGTACACACGTGCGTGTGTATGTGTATACTTAAGCCTGCACAGAAACTAACTTCTATCAGTATTCAAGCATATGCCAGGCCAGATGGCTCCCTATGCTGCTTCATTTAGTCTTTATGGTTTTTATGGTAACCTTTGAAATAGGAATAGAATCCTCATGCTATAAAGAATCACAGGTCCTCAGAGAGTGGGTTACATGTATTGCATGCCCCACGCCTACGACCTCTGAAATTCCTTATAATTTTACACAGCCTGCTTCCTTAACTGCTCAGTTTCCTTGGGAGTGTTCGATTTCCATGGGACACGAAACAGAAACTGCTGAAGCGTTTTAAATGTCAGGGTGAGGGTCTGAGCTTGGAAACTCCTGGTCGTCGACTGGGCTGGCTCAGACTTGCCACTGATGTAGTCCAGGTCGTGGGAGGGCACCTCACAACCCTGCCAAGGTGCGTCAATTTCAAAGCCAGGCGATTTAGATGCTTGTTTCAAGCAGATGGGATGGCGGTGCTTCCCTGATGACCAGAAATGCCTACCTATAGAACTCTGCCTGTTCTGGAAGACTGAAGAGTGAAGCACCCTTCCCGAGCCCTAGGCGTCTTTGTTCAAGCTTGTACCAACAGTGTCCTGCTTCCTCCTAGCATGTGAAACCTGCAACCACACCTTGAACCTGGAGCATTTCTTGAGCTCCTCTATAGCTGGTGGACTTGAATCTTTTTTTCCCCCGTCCTGGTGGGACATCCTAGTGGGGGGCCATCCTGGTGGAGACCATCCTCCCCATGCTGAGGATTTAGTAGATGATGTTAGGGGTGTCATTGGGCATTCTTCAAGAGATGCAGAAATTGGGAAACATAGTGACATTATCCTAGGGTTCCAGACTACTCTCGGGGCCCCATCATCAGACTGGAATGAGCAGAAATCTGTAGGTTCATGCATCTGATCTAGGCTAGGGTACTT